GGAAAAGAAAATGGGAGGTGAAGATTAAAGATTTTAGCTGTGTCAAAAGTTCTAGTTTTCTTTTAAAAAAGGAACATAGATGATAGGTAGAAACCAAAGGAACTGTTTTTAAAATGGATTTGGTGAGATTAGCAACCAACGCAAAATTGCTTGAAGGCATAGGTGAAAACTGCAACAATCTGGGGCACATTCAGCAATTAGTCTACAAAGTATACTATAGAACCTTGAAAACAATGAGAACTGAAAGAAATAAAATGTGACTTGGCATCTTGAAGCTGTATGTACAGATTGTATCCTAGTCAGTCTACATCCCTTCTATGGTAATCAGCAGCCAAGGCAGAAGGAAAATGCCTTTTAAAGTGGCTTTTGAGGTAAGAAAGGCTATAGCAGGAAGGCCAGATAGAAGAGTATGAGCAGACTTGTTTCTGAGCAGTAGAACATCCTGAAAGACTCCCAGCATGAATTGGTGAAGTCCTATGGGTTGGGCGATGAGGAGAATCTAATCAGGTAAGCCAGATCTAATGCACAAGTAAAAGTAAGACTCAATGAAATGAAAATGATGCTATTGGATATTTCTTATTTTAAATTGGTGGAAAAAGAAGACTTAAAAGAAGAAAGATAATGAGCCTCAGACTAAAACTATGGTTGAGCTAGGGCTAGACGCAAGGCAGGAAAGAGCAACAGAAGAAGAAGAAGAAGGTTTTGTAGAGGATTATCATCTGTTCATCTTCTGGGCAAGAATCTAAAAGAAACTTCTTGCCATAAGACTTCACATATTGTTGATAATTTTGTGTGTAATGGAGGTTATAACAGAAGTTATTGCACTGATGCCTATGATACAGTGGGCACATGTTGAATCCCTGAGCACTGGCCTCTTTTGGCTACCGGGGACATACAAATACTCTGAAAGCTGAATCCCAGGGTTAAGGCAGCTGGCTCTAAACCCACTTACAAGTATTGTACATGATTATCCAATGAGGAGATAAATTCTTTGAAGGAAAATGAAGAACATATGCTGATGTTCTGAACAGATTATGTTTTCATGTTTCTGGGTTGTAGCACTTGGTTGAAAAGATGAAATTAAAAAATAAAACAAGAGATAAAAATAAAGAATCACTCAAGTTCCATTACTCCTTAGCAGCCAGTCTTTGGGGACAAATTCCAAAGCTTTTCTTCTATTAGTTTTTCCAGAAATATAAAAAATACGAGATTTTTCATTCTTTTACCTTCTTTAACTCTACTATTTGAAATATTCAGTGATTCTTTATATCTTAATAGAAAAATCAAAGCTAGCCAGATTTTATTTTTAGGAAGACAAAATGTCAGTTTTCCCTGAAAATGCTAATTACTGACTTTTTTCTTATCAATCTATAATGTGATCAAAATTCACCTAGACACCCAACACTGAATAAAAAATAGAACAAATGCAAATACTAGCAAAGTTGTCACACTCAAGATCTAATCTGCAATTGTTTTCATTTCTTACTACTTTTCCTCTTGGTATAGCCTGTGTAAATGATACTAGCACATTCCTTATTTCTTGAGGAAGGAATCTTCAAGTCCTTGCTGAGTATTTCCTTTCATAAAAGCTACATGCCGAATCACCAACAAGTTTAATAGTTAAAGCCATCTACTTTTTTACTTCCTTCTACTGCCCCATTTTTCTTTTCAGAACTCCAGGCTCTGAAAAAAAAAATCACACTTTCACTCTAGAAAATGTACTTTTTTTAAAATCCAACAACAAAACAAATTCCCCCAAAAACTTGGGCTTTAGAAGTAGGCATGGCATCATCCCAAGAGTGGATGCCAATAGCAATAGTGAGGCTTGGGTCACTGGAAGGAGGGAATTTCAACCTGTGAACTTACATTATTGAACAAAGAGGATCAAGGAAACTGATCCTCTTTAAAGGAAAGACGGACCAATTTCAGACTCCAGAAATCATAAATTACAACCTTAGAATCAAAGACCACCAGATACTCAAGACAACCACTGTATATGCCAAAGATATTTTAAAAGATAATAAAGGAGAAATAGTTAAAGAAAGCACATCTGTAAAACACTTGGCCCACTATCTGAAATGCAGTGGTGGCTTATTATGTGATAGCTCCATCTGGATCCCACTTTACCCTTTCTTCTCTAAACCAGTGCAATAGCAGTTTTCCTCCTGAGATATGCATTACTCATGAGCTCTACCTCTCTGTGCTCTAGAGTATATGATAAATCATACGTAAAGGTAATGTATGAATATATGAATCACTCAGGTGGACCTGATCTAAGCACAAAGGTCCTTTTAAGAGGGAGGTAGAAGAGTTAACCCATTACCAAATATTAGTGGCTTAAAGAAACATAAATTTATCCTCTTGAGGCTTTTGGAGATCACAAGTCTGAAATGTGTCTTAGAGGCTAAATCCAAGATGTTATCAGCTCTGTGTTAATTATGAAGTCTTTAGGAGCGAATCTGTTGTTTTGCCTTTTCCAATTTCTAGAAACTGCTTGCATTCCTTGACTCATGGCCCCTTCTCTATCTTCAAAGCCAGGAGCATAGACTTTTTTCTTCCTCTGCTCTTCAGTCTCCCTCTTACAAGGACTCTTAGTTTAAATCAGGTCCACCTGAATGATTCAGAATAATCTTCTCATCTTAGGGACCTTTAATTTAATCATATCTACAAAGTTCCTTTGCTGTGTAAGGTAACATATTCACAGGTTCTGTGGATCAGAATGTGGACATCGTTGAGAGCTCTTACTTAATCTACCACAGATAAGGAGCAGAGGGCAGTTTCTCAAGGATTCATCAAGTAATGATAGAGACTGAAGGTCATTGGATGGTATAATGAGGAGAAAAAAGACCAAATGGGGGAAAGACATGAAGTTCAGCACTGGGTGTGTTTAGATTGGTATGTTTAAGACTGGATATTCAAAGAAATTACCTACATCTTGAGTTGAAAAAAGGTCCTTTTGAAAACAGGGCTAGCAAGCTTAAAGAGCCAAACAGTGCATGTTCTTTCTAATTTGAGGAACCTGGACCTAAAATGATGATGATGATGATGACTGGGACATAAATGTGAAAGGAGGATGGTCGGGGAGATCAGCAGGATGGGGGAGTGATAAAGGAAAGGATTCTCTCTTTCCCCATACATATATATATATATATATATGACATATATATACATATAAGACAGAATAAAGAAACCCACCAAATACTGTTTGAAAAAGGGGGGAGGAGGTAGGAGAAATGGGAATATAATGGAGGGGTTGTACACATATATGAAATTGCTACATTGAAACCCCCTCATGTTATTAATGTACACTAATTCAAAAATATAATAACATAGCTCCATGGTAGAGTGCATGAAATAATGTGATGAGCTAATAGTTTCATTACTACTGTGAAGAATATTATTGCTTAGATATTTTCCAATTGATTATAGTTGATGCTCTTAGATTTTCTAGGCAGATAATATATAATATTTCGAGGAAAATATCAATGCTGGTGTCAAGAACAGACACCTGAGAGGAAGTAATTAAGAAGGACTAAAAATGTTTGTTTTGGCAAAATGATTACCAATAAAGTAATTTATGTAAACTATTTACTTTTAGTTCCCCTGTGGCACAGTAGCATGAAGGTTAATCATATTGATTTTGATAACAGTTTTATTTTATAAGGGCTATTAAGTCTACATAGGTTTTCTTAGTTACCCCAATGTTGCTATTGGGTGACAAATCTATCCATTTACAATTTAAGAAAAGTAAAGGGGACATTTTTCTTTCTCAACACTTTTGTCTTGGGCTGCCACTTAGTTTTACTAATGAGAGAAACCCAGTTTCATAACAGTTAATTTTAAAACAAATATTTGTTCATATCTGTCCAACTCTTAGAATGTCATGCACAGAGTACAGCACAACAGATATGTTTATTCATACAGGTAATGAATGATGTCAAGAGCTCCACTTGCTAATCATTTGAAAAATACACATGTATTTTCAAACTTCATCTGTGAAAAAGTTAGCTACAAATTCATCTACTCAGTTCTTCTGCTTAAGGAGCGACACTACTGGAGTGGCTTATCCACATTTGGGGCCCTTCTTGCCTCCAAATGAGCTTGAGATTGTTTTATTTCAGCTTCTGATATGTCTATTAATGGTGGCAGGAGTAGGGTCTAATCCCAGAAACTTGGGGTTATCCCTGTCTCCCTTCCCTTTCTTAAATTCACACACACGAATGCTGTCATTTTTATCTGCCTTCCTTCTTCTATCCTTGCCTCCCTCCCTCTCTCTTTCTTCTCCCTTCCTTCCTTCCTTCCTTCCTTTCTTCCTTCCTTCCTCTGTTTCTCTGTTCCTTTCTTCCCCTTTCATTGCCTCTCACCTGCTAACATACCATCACAACCTGTCTGTACTGCCTGAGCCTTTTCTTTTTTCAGATTCAGTTCAATTTCTACTGTGAGAATAATAGTCCTGAGTCCCAGTTCCAATTAGCTCATTAATGGTCCAGGACCTTTCAACAACTTCCTACTGCCTAGCATAAAATTAAATACTGATGGGCTAGGCTTCAAATCTACTTTTCTAGACTTGTATTGGGAATTCCCTTTTACACTGTTGATTTTTCAGTGAAACAGGACTATCTGTCATTTCCAAATTTATGTCATCTCTGTCTCTGCCTTTAGGCCTTGACATCTGTTGCTCTCTCATGTGAAATGCTCAGCCTCTTGTTCCAAACACACATACTTACTTGTGAAAATCTAACCTATTATTCCAAGGACATCTCAGATGATATGTATAATAGCTCCTTTTAGTCATGGAGGATGCCTGAAAGCACCCTATAAATACTGGGTTTTTTTCTATACTAAAAACTTATGATCAAGTTTATAATTTATTCATTAGGTACTATTAACAACAATTAATAATAAAATCACACAGAACTTTTGCTACAGAATACTGTAGCAAAAGTTATGTGAATGTAGTTTCTCAAAATATCTTAAGTATCTTATTGTACTATACTTACCTTTCTTTTGTGATGATGTGTGATGAAGCAATGCCTCCATGATCTGGTGGAGTGAGGTAAATGATATAGATGTCATGACATAAGATTATGCTACTACGTAAGGGTTACTTGAACACAAGCACTGCAATACCAAAGCAGTCAATTTGGTAATGGGAAACCTACCAAGTGACTAATGGGCAGGTAGCATATACAGTGTGGATACACTGAAAAAAGGGATGATTCACACTCCAGACAGGATGACATGAGGTTTCATCATTTATTCTTCTCATCATTTCATCATGAGAAGAATAAAATTGCTGATGGGGATGGGTGAATTATATTTCATGAAATTCTTACTCGGGAACATTAGACGAGATCTTTGCATAGCCACAGAATTTGTTTTGCATCTTTTTTATGACACCTTTCACATTCAAACCACGGTTATTTTTATGTGTATACTTGTTTCTCCACCAGAAGATAAGATCCTTGAAATTAGAAACTGAATCTTATCAATCTTAGGAATCTTTCATTGATTCATAGATACTCCATAAATATTTGTTAAATGCTGTGATAAACAAGTGAATTGATTTTGCTTGTTTATTTCTATCTGCGATTAGTCATAATGTGAACAAACCATTCAAGTCCACTCAAGAATAAGATCCATAACTGGAATAATAAAATTTTCAATCAAGCAAGATGCTATTGCTATGATATACACTGATCTATGAAAAATCTAAGCTCTGAAAAACAGAATCTTAGTACACTATTTTCAAGAAAGAGATACTATCTCTCTTCTTAAGAGTTGGTCTAAACTTAGTACCAGAAAACTGAAACCACTTCACTGGAGAATAAATAAGTTTCAATTTTTAATAGATGACAAACTGTGACAGAGCTGAGAGTATCAAATTAGCCCAAGCATTAGCCATCCCTCAGTGCCAGCCGAGGGGCATATGGAGAGAGAACTCCTGGGGTGGGGTGGGTGATTGGCTTTCCTTCATGGTACTGGCAGCAACAGCTGCTGCTTGGCTCTGAAAGCAGCTCTCTGCCCTTCTTTGGTGACCAAGAGATGGATGAGAGACATTCCAACAACCAAGATGATCCAAGATAAGTTCGGGGTATGTGTGGCTGGATGGGGCAGGGGCTTTGGTTGGATGTGCAACTGAACAGTAAGAAGCAGAATGACTAGTAAAATTGTTATTAATCTCTCAAGGGTGGCAAAACTTAGAATTGAGTCCTAATATCAGATTGAGAAACTATATTGCATCAGTTATGAAAAAAATAACTTCTATGTTCCAGAAACGAAGGATTTCCTGAGGAGGAAATGGAAGGTGCCATATTTCAGAGCATTATGAAAAAAAATTACAGGCACATAAATCTAGGAGGAGATAGCTTCGGCTCCACCATAATGGATGATGAAAGGTGAGATTAAATGATTCTGAAACTTTGCCTGACCTGATAAACCTCTACGACTTAAGAAAATGAACCCTGCTTGGCGGGACACAGCCTCCCTAATATCATCATAGTAAAAGGAATTTCTCACATTGCAGGCTGAAGCAGCAGTGTTCTGCACTCATCACAACATAGGGCTTTTGCTTTAAGATGAGCATTTGAAAGAATTGGTAAATCGCTTTATGCATTTTGCCTGTGTTTTATTCTAGATAAACTTATAGATGGTTGATTTACTTTTAATATTAAAAATCATCTCCTCTTCACTTTCACTATAGCCTTTGCTTGTTAATTTATTTTTAAACACAGGGAGAACATCTGGAAATACAGATGAAGAAAACTTAAGATAGATGACAATCTGATTGTACATCCATGACCATTTATCCTTGCCAATGCCCTGCTGGCAAGATTCAATTAATAGAATAAGCAAGGCCCACAAGCCTCCAAAATGCACAGTCTTAAAAACAAACAGGTGTAGGCTTTATTGTTTGTAGACTCAGATGGAACGCAGTGACTTTTGGCTAGGTGGAGAGTTGATATTTTAGCTGGGGTGAGAAACTTAGAATCTTGGCTCCCTGAATAGGTGCAACTGGTTAAACCCAATAGATCTCTCTCTATCTTTGGAGAAAATTTGCCTCTGTCAGTTTCCAATGTGGAACCTGTTTCTTGCAGGTCAACTCTAGTAGCCCTGGAGAAGAACTGCAACCTTGGGCAGAACTTCTGTCAATCCACATAGTTGAAGAGGGTGAAGCCCATCATGCCCTTTGGCACCAGAAACATTGAGAAGTTTTCTTTATCCCTTTGTTTCCAAGGAATCATTTTGATCCTTTGCTCACACAATTCCCAATGGTAACAGTGTGAAAAACAAAAAAAGATGCCCTATGTGACCTCTGTGTCAGGAAGTGTAAACCAAAACAATAAGAGACCATGGGAGTGGGGAACAAAATTGAAAAGGCTGATATTACTGTTTGTGGAAATATAAAGTACTACAACCACTAGTTTATAGAACTTATTTAAATTATGAATGGACATAGAGGTGGATTGAGAATTCTCATTTTTAGAAGCCCATGCTACAGAAAATGTAAAAAGAGTAATTGGGCTCCTTTTTCTATTTCTTCCCACTTTAACCCTGTTGCACTAAATTCCTTTCCTAAAAAGCTTTACTATTACTTTTACTACAAAAAAAAGAGTATTAGAAAAAAATATATATATATACACACACACACAAAGATGCTAACTGAGTGTTTGTAAGAGCAGGCATTTCAAAATAACCTAAAAGTGGGTAGATGCAATAATGATGCTAGGCAACCGTGTTTGTGATATTTTAAGTTAACAAGCACATTTCAGAGAAATAATATGATCCTGATTTTGTGTATAGAACCTTTTTTGCACATACAAGCTTATGTATTCAGTGAATTGAGAGTAGAAAGATAATTACAATCTGGTAACATGTGTTGCCCTGAAGGGGATATGATTGGAAGGGAAGGGTAGAAAGATGGGAGAGACTACTAATTTTTACTTGATTTATATCTGAATTATTTAATGGTTATAATGAATATATATTATTTTCATAAGATTTTTCTTAAAAACCTCATACTTAAAAATTTTTAAGAGGAAAAGAGTCATCTCTTCAATTTCTGTGAGTCTTCTGTTGCATTTTGCAAATATAGTTACTTCACACCCTTTCAAATTCTATTTCATTTCTTTATAAAACTGAAAATTTAACCAGATGAACACATGGAGAAGTCATTTTATTTTATTCTATCTATACAATTATACTCCTATGAGGGAAAAAATGTACTTGTTTGAAAAAAAACAAGGGCACAAAAATCTCACTCAATATCATAGCATAAGAAGAGAAAATACTCAAATTGTTATTGGGAAAGGCAAAGCAAAGCTAGGGATAATTTTCATCTGGAAACAGATGACAATCTTTCTTCTGTGTTGCTAAGCCAGTGGCTCGCCAACATTAGTGTGTGTCAGAATTACCTGGAGGGCTTGTGAAAATACAGATTGCCCAACCTTACCTTCAGTTCCTGGTTTTCTATAGGTCTGGAATGAAAACTGAGAATATGCATTTCTAGTAAGTTCCCCAGTGACTCTGAGGCTGTTTGAGGACCACATTTATGGACTCACTGCTTCAAAAATATTATATACCCCTTGTCAGAAATTGCTGAGATTTCCAGAAGCAAGAACAAAAATCCCATCAAGATGTACATAAGTAGTATCTGACATGGGGTTTGAGAATATATGTTGCCATGAAGCTGTCTGTAAACATTACATATTCTGCGAGACTATTTTGTCATCTAAAACAAAAACATTGAACAAATAAAAAAGTAAGCATAATAGAAAATTATGTGCTATCGAATCTCATTTATTTTCCTTTTATTGCTTGTAAGAGAATATGAGTCATATAATTTTCTAACTTCTTATCCACAGTAGAGAATAAGTAAAACCAGAAAGTATGGAAAGCAAAGAGAATGCTAAATGTTTATGAGTTGCACTTGTAAGAAAAAAGTTTCCTTCCTGCCTTTGCATACATAATGATCCAAGTGGAAACTTTATTTTTTAGTAAAATAATGTATTACCTCTTTGATGATTGAGTTTCATTGTAACTGAGGCAGTTAATGTGCACAATATGCCACTTTGGGCTGCTCTATAATTTTTTTCAAGTTTGACCATCTTTCTTAAAACTAACTTTTTTGGAAGAAAAGAAAAATGTTAAGAAAGAAACAAAACTCTAGAGACATAACTTTGCATTGTTTCTGAGGGGTGGCATCCTATTCTAAAGTGGTCCAAAAGCTATGTGTTGAAGCCAAGTTTCCAGACTTGTCACCACTAGGCCCTGCTCTCTTCCCCAAAACAAGTCAGACTTTCCATTTGGACCAACATCATGGCTCTTGACAGAGCTTCAGGGGAAGGATTTTGGAGTCATGGGTGTGTTCCAAGGAGGCTCAGGAAAAGCTTTCCTTGCAGTGTGAATTTGATAGCTGTAGCTCAGAGGCAGACCAGGACACCTGAGAACATGTCCAAGCAGCCTTGACCCCTGATCTCTGGGCTCTTCCCTCGGAAGTTCTTCGCCAGTCCAGTTAAACTGTACATCATAATTTCATGGCCATCTCAGATATTACTTTCAAATAACATGTTTACTTTGTGAAAGCTCTTTCTTACTTTAGGAAATCCAGAGGTCAGGATTGCACTTGGTTGACAGATCTGAGAAATGCCTTTGCCCTCTTACCTCCTTGTTCATATTAGATTTCATCTTGTTTGCTATCTTCTTTTCTCCAAGTTTATAGTTTCCTAATGCTGTCTCTTGGCTACTTTAGAGATTACCCTGGATCACCTAGGATACAGCTCTCCAACTCCCAATCCCATTTCCAAATTTGCCTAACCTTGGCTAATTAACCATCTTGAAACAAATTTACACCAGGGCATTAATGGCAGATAATGGCCTACTCGGTTAACTTCTTCAGTCACGTCCATATTTTATATAGCAATTTTAGATTCAAAAGACTTAAGTAAAGGAGTACGTTTTCAGCAATGGAATGTCCTAACTGGTACAGGCCAGGAAGGGAGAGATTTTTGGTCAGAGCAGCTTCCTAGGGTCCCTCACACCATAATATATCAGCCAGTGATGCATTAAGAATTGTACTTAACAAGGGTACACATGAATGATGTTCTCCTTTAAAAAGTATGCTCTAAATCTCTACCTGAAAGAGAAACTTATAGGAACTTATCTCGCTGGTCTCCATTTGTGCCCAGTCCTGTAATCCAGGTTAGTTTATTGCTCGCTGATCAGAAGTAACATTTACTTATAGTTAGGCAACTGTTGTAGCTGTGGACCTGTATATAGACAGTAGGATTACAGCTCAAATCATCAAGTGTTATATAACATTAAGACCCCTGAACTTTGGCTGTACGGGGCGGGTAAGGTATCTAACAGAACACTTCCTGTGTAGTAATCAGGCTTGGAAATGAAAGGAAGGGAGTTGGACCAGTCACTGGGAAGCAGAACCACTTCATTAAGGACTAAATGGCATATAAAATTGGCTGTGATATTCCAAAGAACAGATAGTATTGTATGTAAATTATAAGTCAATTAGGTTTTATTCTTCTTGGATTTCATATGTTTATATATGCTGTTTTTACTTCTCTTGAAAATCTAAGTCCACCTCAACTCAGCAGGAGGGATCAGTAGAGCTAAGCTTTACTCAGAGTTCATTCAGATTCTGGGGATAAGAATGTTAGTGACAGTGTTTATCATGGGAAAGCAAAATCAGATGAAACAAACCAAGCCCTCCAGACATAGACATTCATTTAATAGAACTAAAACCTTGAAAGCTCATTTAAAACATTTTAAAACTTGTTGGATGTGTTCTATTTTAGTTTTTTTAAAATAAGGGATGTGGAACCTTATGATCACCTTGGGTGATATTATTGTAGTTAGGGGGTGAAACACCCTAGCTCACTTCTATGAACATGGAACTCAGTAATAGTACCTTAATTTGTCCATCTGGTTAGTTTTATAAGAGTGGAGGTGCTTTTTATTTCTACAGAATAAACCAAAAGTAACTTCAACTTTCTGAGAATGACAAGTACTGTCAAACTGTATGACAACCCAACTATAAGTATGTACAGATACACTATTTTTCATTTATGCTTGGGATTTCTTCCTTTTTTCAATTAATACTTATTTTTATTGACTTCTCAGAAATAATTTTAATCAGTCCTACATTAAAGACACATAATTTCAAATTTATTTTTATGAGATCAAGACACAAAAATAGATTAAAGTATAATTGACATATATAAATGAAAGCTTTTGTCATATTTATATGGATCTTACAAGTATTAAACTTATGTTTCCATACTATTCTAGGTACTTCTAGGAATTTTTAATTTGATGTGATAATTCTTTAAGCATCTTCATGTGTCTGCATCTAGGCCTACCTAAGAATGGAATCTCCAAGTATTACAGGCTCCAATGTCACCTATAGTAGTCCCCAGCAGAAATCAGCTCAGCTGGCACAGAATCCCAAATTATAGGCTATTGATCTTACCTTGACCTTTGAGGCACAAGAATCTTGTAGCAGAGGTTAGGCAGGTTCCACCCCATACAAATATTTGTCTAAAGCAATATCCAGAGGAGTACCAGGATTTACAACTTTATGAGAAAAATAAAATCATTTGCTGAGCATAAGTGAAGTACTTTAGGGAGTGAGAACAATAAAGATTTGACTGTTGATAAGGCCTTAATTGCACTCTGAATTACAGAGCAGCGAGGTCCTGATGTTTACTTTCAGTTCCTCTTCACTGAGGAACATTTGAACTCCTATATTCATTGTGACTAAAAGATTGTGGCCTGTGTTTGACAGATTATTTTAAGCTCCTCCATCAAATAGTCATAAAATACTGACTGTGTGTCAGGCCTTATGCTGGGTGTTGTGTATAAAAATATGACTGAGGAGCTCACAATGTAGTATAGAGGAAACGTGTAAATAAAAATGAAAGCTATTGGTACTTTCTAAATGTAAGTACTATTCTAATGATTTCACATATTTCATAAAATCTGTAAAACAATCCCAGACACATGTTTACTTCTGTCATTTTACATGAGAGGAAACAAATTCATGGAGAAGTAAATTGGGCATTTTACCATAGTAGGACTGACATTCAGACCTAAAAGGACCACATGGAATTTTAGGAGGCTTTCTTTAAAAAAAAATACACTTCACACTTAGATAGCTACTATAAAAAACAAGCAAGCAAATAAACAAAGCCTGAATAATAGCCCCCAGAAGCCTAGGTATGATAGTACATGCCTATAATACTAGCATTTGGGAGGCTGAGGCAGGAAGATCGCAAGCTTGAGGCCAGCTTGAGCTATATAGCATGACCTTGTCTCGCCTCCAAAGAAAATCCTTTAGAACATAACAAGCTCTGCCAATGACATGGCAGAATTGAACTTCTGGGAATATAAAATGGTGCAGCCACCATGGAAAATGGTATGGCAATTCCTCAAAAAATTACCTCCTGCCCCAGCAATTCTGCTTCTGGGAATATACCTAAAAGAAGCAAAAGCAGGGTTCGAACAGATATTTGCATACCCATGTTCATATAAGGATTATTTACAATAGCTAAATTGTAGGATCACACCAGGTGTCTACTGACATAAATGCATAAACAAAAGGTGATATATATACACAATGGAATATTACTCAGTCTTCAATCCATACTATAGTATGGATGAACCATGAAGACACTATGCAAAGTGAAATAGGTCAGACACAAAAGGAAAAATACTGTTTGAAGGTACCCAGAATAGTCAAATTCATAGAGCAGAAAGAAAGGAGGGTAGGTATTGCTAGAGGCCAGGTGAAGGAGGAGCTTTTGGCAATTAGTGTTTAATGGGTACAGAGTTTTCGTTTGGGAAAATGAAAAAGTTGAATAATAGTGACCACTGTATAATAATGTGACTGTACTTAATATCACAGAACTGTATACCTAAAAATGTTTTAAACGGTAAATTAAATTTTACCACAAAATGAATACAAAATTAATAATAAAAATTAGTGACCAAAATAACAATCTACTTAGGACAAGAGATCATCATAAATTAAACACTAAAAAAGTTAAACACCTGTAAAACAGAAACAAAAACAGAAAAATAATACATTATTTTATAAGCTATCTTTTATGTATATTTTAGTTTTATAATCCCTGATAATCTCTACATATGACAAAAGTTTTATATCATCTTCTATGGAGGGAATAAAAGGATATTTCAGGCTTTTTTCTAGCATGGTTGATCGAAATATATTTTCCTTTATTATTGATATTGGTTGCAAAACACTTTATGCACACATTTGAAGTAGTGCTGCAGGTCTGTGCCTTTAAAATATAACATTCTTTAATTTTATGCTTTTTCCACAAAAAGTTTAAAAAGTACAATGTGGTTTTAATTGTACAAAAGATATTATCAAATACATTTAGAGGAGAGAACTTTTGTCTTGACTGGTATCAGATGAGAGCCAGATTCTCTGCCTACATTTTACACATTTGACAAGTGAAGTAATTTTTAATAGATAAACTCTGTCTCTGTATATTTCACAATCTGTTTCTTTTCAACAGCCTACAAATTTCTGGACCTGCGAGCTATTAGGATTTTGATGTGATTTTTGAGCACTGCATATTTGTGATTTGTTATGCCGGAATGGCTAGCTAATAAATTATAAGTGTGTATACAGAACTGACTGGAAACCATATAAATAGATCCCTCTGAAGCCAAACTAAAATTATTCTCAACTCAATTTCCCTAGCCGGATCTCACAAATGCCTGCAGTCTTGAACACCACCTGACACAGGAAGTATGATGGCTGGTAGAATGATAATGGTCTCGACTGTCTGACAGTATTGTTAACAAATTTTATATAAACACATGACAATATAAACACATTTCTAGGGTCTTTCCAGAATCTTGGAAGCAGGAAGTGGACAGTCCTGGATGTTAAACCTCATCCTTTTCGTAGTAATACCACCTCTGTCTAAAGTCTGTTTGACTCCTACATGTTTGCCTCTTGCCACTGTACTATTCCACCTCAGATTAATTATAAAGATAATTATAAGGGGAATGAGTGAAACCAAACTAGACAGAAAAGACCTCCCAAGGAAGGACACATAAAACAGCTGTGCCAAGGAAGACTCTGGAATTAAAAACTCACAATCTCACGCTGTCTGTACTGGAAGAACATACCTTTATTTCATGACTTCCCTAGTGCTTTCAGAAAACTTAGCACATCTACTTCTGTGTCTGGGCCACTTGCCTGCACTGCAATAAAGGAAATGTATGTTTTCTCCTTTTTTTTTTTTGAAAAGAATAATGGGGAGAACAAATGGAAAATTTGTTGGTGCAAAAGATGCAAAAAATAAAAAAGGTAAAACCATCCCAAGGGAGGCCCTACAGGTATAAAAAAAAAGCATGCCAGCTTCAATGACAAAACAAAGATTGGTTAAATTTAGTCAAGTGATAAAGAATATTAGCATCAGAGGGAATTTTATTTATCAAATCAAACAATTAGAAGTTGTTAAAGAGGTAACATTAAACACTGGGTAAAGGTCCATAGATGTACACGAAAGTGTGTGAGCTTAAAAAGCTCTATTGCCTGAAGGAAATGATCAGTGTGCTGACCTTTGGCTCAGGTAGATCACCTTGGATGTAAGCAGTACCTAACTAGGTTTGTGCTATTCTCTCAAATTTTTTATTGATATTTCATCTTTGGCTCTGATTTGCCATAGAGTGTTAAGAGGTCATACATCTCTCTCTTTTATTTGAGTAAGTGACTTTGCAATTCTGTGACAGGAGAGAAATTAATCTAGGAATGCTAAATTTAATCAAATTTGTAGAATGAAAACATTGGTGTTAAGTTTATGAATTTAATTTTATAACCATTGGAAGAATCTATGAAAAACAGTTTCTTAAGATACTTGAAACGTGTAGTAGAACGTGACACATTAGAAAATTAAATATAACTATGTGATTTTCATTTTAAAGGAATAAAAGAAGCTGGGAGTGGTGGCTCACACCTCTAATCCTGGATATTTTGGAGGCTGAGATCAGAAGGATCTCAGATTTGAGTCCTGGGCAAATAGTTCATGAGACCTCATCTCCAAAATAATCAGAACTAAATGGACGAGGTGTGGCTCAAATAGTAAAGTGTTTGCTTTGCAAATATGAAGCCCTGAGTTCAAACCCCTTTCCCACCAAGAAAAAAAAAAGGGATGAGAGAAGTCTCATAAGTTTCTACAAAGTGTTTGAATGTTTAAGAGAACATAATTTACTAATGCACATTCCTTTTACTGAAATTGCTTTAATTATGAGAATCCTTTTCCCCCTTTAAAAATATTTATAAAGTGTGTAAAAGATTACCATGTTAGGCATTTGCAAAGTTTCAGAGATTCAGCTAGGTTGTTTATACTTAATACAGTTTATAATATTTGAAGGAACTAAATTGATCAAGTCTATCAATTACATTGTTTAGAGGAATTTATACTGAACTGGACACTAATGAAGGAATAAGTATAAATAATAATTCATATTTCCTCCCCTTCAAATTTCAATATTTATAGTCTTGTTTATTAAACATAAAGTCTTTAGAAAAAACAGTGCATCTTTTCATAACTAATTTAATACATTGAGAAGTAGGTAGATACAGTATAAACATTCTTTCAGAGGATAGATGAACACGAACATTTGACTAAATGAAAGACAGAACAAACTCAGTTACTTACAGCTCCAGAGAAGGCTGCTGGGCAGGACCACACAGGAGTTATACCTGAAGTTAGGGTACCAGAAAGCAGGAGCAGTAGGGAGCAACTTATATATGGCAAGAAGGGTGGGGTTAGCTAAGTTCATAGGTTGACTGATTTGAATAATTTTGGTGGGCTCTGGTGCCACCAAAATTGTCCGTTGCCTGGCCCTAGAGTGATTAGAGATGGTATATTGGGGACCTGGAACATGAGACCCAGATAAGGGAAGTGGTTGGGGTGTGGACTTTATCAGTTGCTCAAGAAAGAGTACTGGCCAGCCTCTAGTCAGGATCTCAAAATTAGATTAAGACAGGACAGTAAATGAAAAAAACCCACACACAAAAACTTACATAATGATTGAGTTCTTGATATCTTGTCATCGGTTTTGAGGTCAATTATTTGTGGTATTTGAGTGTCCTCAGAAGTAGGGACTTCTAGAGAACAGGGCATAGAATATGACTTGGAGATGTTAGCAACTTTTCTAAGAGTTGAGTAAATGAACAGAGAAAACATTTTATGATGACATTAATAAGACCAAGTAGAACCATTAAGACGTTATGAGGGCTGGGTCGAAGCCAAGCTCCCCAACTGTTTGGCATTAGCTAGGAGAGTAAGTCATGGTGAAGACCTCAGTAACATTTTGTGTGAATCATAGAGCCTGTGAAATGTGCAAGTTATGTTTTTTATGATGATGATTTTGTCATCTATACTTTTAGATGTTAACCCACATCTAGTAAGAAATATTAATATTACAAATACTTGCCTTGACTAGCTAATGTATAATCAACAACAAATTTATTGACAAAACTGTCTTTGCCAGGCTTTCCTGGCCTTGACTAAATAGACCTAAAATTTGTTGTAT